GGGGTTATGTTCCCAGCACTCAGCTGGGAGCTAAGAACCATCTATCTCTAATTCCAGTTACAGAAGATGAGGATCTGACGCCCTCTTCTGGCCTCCTTGGGCATGGCGTGCATGTGGTGCACAGGCTTATATGCAGACAAATTACTCATACACATAAAACATAAATACATTTACAATCTTCCTGGTTCAGATTTTTGCTGCTTTAGCTCATACATTTGCTCCTATGAGTTGCTGAGTTCATTTTGATATATGATGGGAAGTAAGGTTTGGTTTGTTTGTTTTTAACTTTGAGGTTGGGTCTCACCTCGTAGTCCAAGCTGACAGTCGAGGCTGGCGTCAGGCTTTCAGTCTTCTCATCTTAGTCTCCCAGGTGGCGGATGACAGGCTTGCAACGCCACGGCCACTCCAGATTCATTCTTTTCATTCTCTAAGAGAGGTCTCAGAAATGGTAATTCTTTGGTTCATCATCTTCACATGGACCCTGGGAGCTTTTGAGGGAAAAAAGCCCTGCATGGTCTTCATTAAATATTCTCCACCTGAGCCAAACCACAGAAACGACAGATTCTCAGGCCTCGCCGTGCAGCAGCCTTGCAGCAGCCTCATGGTCCACAGCAGGTCTGCGGCTACAGCCTCAGTTCTCCAGTCACTTTGTAGTGTGATGGTGTGTGTGCCAGTGTGTGTGTGTGCGTGCGTGTGTATGCATGTGTGTGTTTGCGTGTGTGCGACAGGATCATACTTTGCTATAGTACTGGATGGCCTGAAACTTGCTATGTTGACAAGGTGGATTCAAATTTGTAGCAATCCCTCTGCCTTTACTTACCCACGTGCTGGGGTTATGTGTATATGCCAGCCCACCCGGTTCAGTTTTGTTTTGTTTTTGTGTTTTGAGACAGGGTTTCTCTGTGTAGTCCTGGCTGTCTTGGAACTCACAGATATCTGCCTGCCTCTGCCTCTGAGTTCCGGGATTAAAGACGTGTGCCACCACCATCTGGCTCTTCTTCTTCTTCTTCTTCTTCTTCTTCTTCTTCTTCTTCTTCTTCTTCTTCTTCTTCTTCTTCTTCTTCTTCTTCTTCTTCTTCTTCTTCTTTTCTTCTTCTTCTTCCCTGCCCTTTTCTCCAGTGCTCAGAACACAGTTCAGTTCCTCCTGGGCCCTCCTCTGCTGCTGTTGCATCATCAACAGACTGCGTAAACACCTTTTGCCTGAGGGTGAACTTAGGTGTCATTTCGGGCCAGTGTTTCCTTCCAGCTGACCTAGTTGAAGACTGTGTTTGCCCATTGAATGGCCTTGGCCTCTCTAGGAACAATCACCCATAAACATGAGAGTTGATTTGGGAATTGTTCTGATGCAACGCTCTGCATGCCTATTCTTCAGCAGTCCCCTCTCACTTTATTATTACTATTCTTATTATTTTAGAATTTGGTCCCTTCAGCTCCTCTCTGTAGTGAGCTTTAAAATGGTGTGGAGTGATGCATCCAACCTTCCCAGAGTTGTCTGTTAGGCTTATGTTTGCTGGTGGATTTTTGGCTTTAGGTTTTTTATTTTTGTTTTTTACATTTATTTATTTGTTTGCTTGTTTGGTTTGGTTTTTTGAGGCAGAATTTCTCTGTGTATCTCTGGCTGTCCTGGAACTCACTCTGTAGACCAGGCTGGCCTCAAACTCATAGAGTTCCGCCTGCCTCTGCTTCCCAAGTGCTGGGATTAAAGGCGTGCGCCACCACCACCCACCACTGCCAGGTGACAGATTTTATTCTGTGGCTCAAGCTGGCCTAGAACTTGGTGGTGGTCATCCTCCTGCCTCTCCTCTCAAGTGCTGGGAGAATGCACCACCACATATCTACCCCCCAGCTTTTCTTTTTCTTTCCATTTGATTTGTGGAAGACATGTAGTTGCTAGCTGCGTGGCTTCTGTCAGTTTGGGTTTGTGAGCTGTAACTCTGTGGTGTCATTCACAGGTTCTTCAGTTGTATGTGTGGCAATCCACTGGGGGGGGGGTGAGGTTCCATGCTAGGTTTATTGTGGTAGCAGGAATGCGTTGTGTGTGTGTGTGCGCGTGTGTGTGCGTGTGTGTGTGTGTGTGTGTGTGTGTGTTTCTTGAATTGGAATGAACGGGAGTCTGGGTTGCTGGTCTCTGTGTTGTCTCCTGTTGGTGACCTTCACCTGGGTCATTTTGCCCCTGGAGGTGATGGGAATTTTAAAGGGCCACTGTGTGGGAGTGAGGTGACTAAGGGGAAGAGCCAGGCAGTAAAGCACCTGGCAGCAGCCTGGTGCACAGTGACACTCTATTGTTGTTGTTAGACCTGTGTGTGGGACACAAGTCCCTGGCTTGGAGCCGTTTTCGGGCCTAGGCTGTCTGCCCTTCTCCTCTACCCCGGAGGGGAAGTTTGCAGTGCCTGTGGACCTGGGAGGCATGCTCAGGAGCGCAGCAGCCCTCTCAGCGCCCCTGGTGTGGCCGCTCTGGAAAAGGAATGCCGGAGCCTCGCTCACCCTCGCCCGGTGTTTGCACCAGACTGTAAGTGCCCTGCATAGCTCTCCACCACGGTCCTGGCTGGGGGTCCTGGGAGCTGGCTTGGTCCTGCCTGTAAAGCCGCGTGTGCGCCTGCTCTTTCAGGAGCCTTCCTGGGCGAGCTGTCCTGTCCTCTCCCCTGGTCCTGCCTATAAAGCTGTGCTTGCGCCTGCTCTTCCAGGAGCCGAGCTTCCTGTCACCTCCCCTGGGCCTGCTTCTCTCATCTGGGGCTCAGCTTTGCATGGACACTCGGTTTGTCAGCTGCTGCCTGCCCTCCATTATCCCAGCGCCCATCCTAGCTGATAGCACACAGTAGGCACACAGCACATCTTGGTTGGCTGACTGTGTTGTACACAGCTTGAAAACAGCACTGTTCTCCGATCTCAGTACCGACGGCCATTCGCAAAGACACCCTCTTGAGTCCCCAAGTTTGTGGAATTCCATTAATTTTTTCTTCTTCTCAAACCCATTCAACTCCACTCATTTCTGTTTATGTGTAAGTTTGTGCCCTTGTCCCCTGCATCTTCCACACCTCCCCACCCCAGCCTAGCTTCCCTCAGGCCAGTCTCTATCCCCCAACACCGGCACTATCAGGCCTCCTCAGTCCTTCACATCACCCATGTTCTCTCGCTCTCTGCTACATCCCAGTCCATACATGTGTGTGGCTTTATGCCGTTGTCAACAGGGAAAGGTTCTGCTCCTATATATGGCTTGGAAAAAACACCAATAAATCAGAACTTTAAGTTAGACTCAAATGGAGAAGAGATGCAATGTGAAGGATGCACTTGTTAGAATCAATCAAAAACAAACAAACAAAAGAGCCCAAAATAAGACAGTCAAGGCCTGAGAGACAACGCATCAGCTGAAGGTACTGCCACCAATCCTGATGACTGGACTTTGATGCCTGGGGCTCACATCATAGGAACTAAGAATTGACTCCCAAAGGTTGTCCTCTGACCTCTGCACACATGCTGTAACATGTGTGCCCCCCACACACAAAATAAACTATAATTTTAAAAAATACTAAGCCAGGTATGGTGGCACACACCTTTAGTCCCAGCACTCAGGAGGCAGAGGCAGGCGGATCTCTGTGAGTTCGAGGTCAGCCTGGTCTACAAGAGCTAGTTCCAGGACAGCTAGGGCTGTTATGTAGAAAAACCCTGTCTCGAAAAACAAAAAAACAGAACAACAACAATAAAAATCTAAACCCCAGTCAATCAAATAATGTGATCTCTGTATGAAATAGAAAACCAGATATAAACTGGGAAGTAGAAAAGCAAAAAGAGCGAGCTGGGGGCAGAGCCAGAGTCCCCATGAGAAAGGCTCTGTGAGCCCCTCGGCGACTCCCTTCCTGCAGCTTCATCCCTACCCACGTGTGATGGCAGAACCGAACATGCATTCACAGATGCATGCGTATTAGGGGATTCTTAGGTTTTCATTATTTTTAAAGACATGGTGTCCTGTGGCACGGGCTGGCCTCAAACTCACTACTTCCCCCGCTGACGAACTGGGATGACAGGTCCCAGCCACCATGCTTGGCTACTCAGTGTTGGGGAACACACCCAGGGCTTCCTGCCCTCGGGTTTTTGGTGTTGGTATATTGTAGCACTAACGTTCTTCTAAATTATGGCTGTCTCCTACATTTTTCAGTCGTAAAAATAAAATATTTAGCTGGACATAGTGTTTCACATCTGTAATTCCAGCTCTCGGGAGGCTGAGGCTAGAGGATTGCTGTGAGTTCAAGGCCAGCATGAACTTCTTTACAAATTCCAGGCCAGCCAGAACTACAAAGTGAGACCCTGTCTCAGAACACAATAGCAACAAGAACAATAAAATATATAGCCAAACATGATGGTCCATACCTATAATCCCAGTACTTGGGAGAGTGAGACTCTCAAGTCTGAGTCAGCCTGGACTATCAAATAAGAATCCTGTCTCAAAAAAAAAAAAAAATCAAAGAAAATTTGTTTTATAAAATTTGAAAAAATATGCCAGACTGTGGCAGTGCACACCTTCAATCCCAGCAGAAGCAGGCAGATCTCTTTGAATTCAAGGCCAGCCTGGTCCATCCACAGAGTGAGTTCCAGGAGAGGCAGGACTACACAGGGAAACCCTGTCTCGAAAAACAAACAAAAAATTGAAAAATCTGGGAGGCAGAGTCAGGTGGGCCTCTGAGTTCAAGGCTAGCCCTGTCTACAGAGTTCTAGACTAGCCTTGGCTACATAGTGAGAACTTGTCTCAAATAAATTAAATGAATAAATTGAGCCGGGCGATGGTGGCACACGCTTTTAATTCCAGCACTCGGGAGGCAGAGGCAGGCGGATCTCTGTGAGTTCAAGACCAGCCTGGTCTACAGAGCTAGTTCCAGGACAGGACAGGCTCCAAAGCCACAGAGAAACCCTGTCTCGAAAAACCAAATAAAATAAATAAATAAATATATATATATATATAAGTAAATAAATTGAAAAGCAATAATTACAAAGAAGAAAAATTCAAATGTCTGCTAACCAACGTAAAGAAAATCAGCCCTGACATTTGATTGTGCTGAGGTCATCTCCTTAGGAACACGCTCTTGTCAGCTCGGTGCTCGACACTGTGAGCACCAGCCCCAGTGACACCATCCAGGAGTCAGTGGAGGGCAGGGCACAGGGCTGCCAAGATGCTGTGTGCCAGGCCCCAACTCGTTCCCATCCCCATGAGGCTCAGGCTGCTGGGAAACCTTACACACCACACATGGCCTGAGTCTTCTCCGGGGCAAGGGTGCCAAGATTATTGCTACAACCGCTGTGACAGGATAGCGTTAGCTTCTCCTCTGAGCCCCTGTGTGCCTCAGGTCTTCATGTGCTGTGCACAGATGAGCAGGTCACCTCTGGCGGCTGCTGTGGGAGCTTAGCAGATCCCGACCCACAGTCATGATTTTCTACTGGTCACAATGGGTGGCCTTCAAGCGTGGGAATGACCTAGCATCACTCCCTCCTGGGCCTGAGTGAGCAACCCCCTCCCCAGAGTTGGAAGTCTCGGTCAATTTGTTGTGTGACCTTGAGCACATTACTCCCTATGCCCACTGCAAGCTCTCATCTGCTCAGGGAACCCAGCCCAATTGTCCTAAGTGTATGTACAAGCCTAGGTAACCTTTGCCGATGCGAGCGAGGGACCATTGTTGCTGGTACCACCGTTCTCCTCGTCTTACATTCCTCTTCCTCAGCCCTTCGGGAGTCATCTGTAACCTGGCCATCACGGCTGCATCTCAGGACACGCAGAGTCAGCACTGATGCACCCCACCCTCACAGAGCCCCCTGCCCCAGTGTGTGGGAGGGGATGGAAGTGTGATGAAGCCCTGCAGGAAGCCAGCAAGAGTAGGCTGGGAGAGCAGGTTCCAGTGAGCCTGGCTTCCTGAGCCTGGGGGCTCCACCCACTCCAGAAAAGCAGAGGGTGGGGCTGGAACCTTAAAGCCACTATCTGGGGTTGCTCCCACGCCACACAAGATTCTCACAGTGGACTTCCCTTGTCTCTCTCCAGCTCATCATGTCCAAACAACTGCAGGCTCGAAGGCTGAATGGAATCGATCACAACCCCTGGTGAGCTGGTGGGATGGGATGGGGTCTGGGTGTCCCGGATGGGTAGTGACAGCCACAGCATGGGAGAGGCAAGACCCAAGGTAGCAGGCTAGCCTCGAGTCTCAGCCTTCCCCTGCATGGCTGCGGTGCTGAGTAAGAGACACACTGGTTTAAAATGGAGATGATTTTACCTCCTTGAAGGGCCTTGTGAACTAGCAACAGTGCTCCAAATCGGGCACCAGGCCATGGCTCCCATGGGTGGCAACTGATCCCCCTCTCCGTACCTATGGCTTCCGCACCCTGGGGATTCAACCAATTGCAGACCAAAAGCATTTTTTTAAAAAATGCATCTTATGATTGGCAAGATGGTTCACAGCAGGTATGAGTGCTGTGGCATATGCCAGGGTACCTGGATTCAGATCCTGGCACTCATATTTCTAAAATGCTGGGCATGGCCATGCCTGTCTGTAACCCTAGTGCTGTGGGAAACAAAGACGGGAGGGTTGTTGGGGCTTGCTGTCGAGTGCCCTAACTCCAGGTTCAGTAAGAGATCTTATCTCAAGGGAATAGGAGTCATAGATCAAACACTTGACCACCTCCTCTGGGCTCCACATGTATGTCCGTGAGTACATGCAACAAAAATACACACATACACACATGTTGTACACACACACATACATGCACAGAAAAGGAAAGACACCCCTACAGAACGTGTAAAGACAGTTCCTCTTGCCCTCAGTCACTGAGCAATGCGGTGAAATAGCTGTTTACATGGCACTTAGGGTGACTGGAAGCTAGTCATCTAGAGATGAGGTGTACGGGAAGGGCTGGGAAGGACCTCGCTACTCCAGTGCCGGTATAGTGTGTTCAAGGCTCTGGATTTCATGCCCAGCATGGGGGAAAAAAGAAAAGGATGTGGGAAGGAGGCTTAGATCATGTGTAAATGCTGTGGTAAGAGACTTGCAGCTGGGCAATTGGTGGCGCATACCTTTAATCCCAGCACTCAGGAGGCAGAGGCCAGCCTGGTCTACGGAGTGAGTTCCAGGACAGGCTCCAAAGCTATAAAGAGAAACATTGTCTCGAAAAGAGAGAGAGACAGATACAGAGAGAAAGACTTGATTCGGGCCAATTTGGATATCCTGGATGGAGGGGGGTATGAAACCCATTTCTCCACAAATATTAAGGGTCAGCCTTCATTTTATTTCATAGGTGCTTTGAAATGAGATAAGTTAAGAAAGTATGATACACCATGATTAGGTGTTTGCCATGCAAGCATGAGGACCAGGGTTCAGATCCCCATCCCCGGAACCCATGTAAATGCCTGGTAAACAGGGCCCCTTGGCTGTAATTCCAGCCTTGAAAGACAGAGATAAGGGAATCCAGAGCAAACTGGCTAGCAAGACGAGCCCTATTGGCAAGCTCCGGCTTCCCTGAGAGAGCCGGTCTCATTGAATCAGGAGGAAGAACAACAGAGTCTGATGCTCAACTTCAATCTTATTCCCCCACCTGCACACACACGTGAGTTCACACATATACACCCACACATGCAGACGTGCATACCACACGTGCATACCACACACATACACATGCCAATGGGAAAAGAGAAAGAAGGATGATGCAAGCCAATATTTCCACCTCGGTGCTAGGGGTGGGACCCAGGGCTCCATGCTAGTGTTCTAATACACTTAGATATGGAAGGATTGTGTGTGTTTGTGTGTTGTTATCACTGTTACAGTAAGTGCAGTGGGAAGTTATTCAAAGGAGCTTTTTCTCCTCTCCCTGTGCACATTAAGCCAGGTGCATGGACAGAGCTGTATACTTGAAAAGTTACAAGTTACAGAAGTGGGTGAGAGAGCTCTCTAGAGGAACAGAATTGTAGAATGAACACACACACACACACACACACACACACACACACACACACGCTTTATTAGAATGGCTTATAGGCTCTGGTCCAGTCCAAGAATCCAGTAGTTTTTTAGTCCATGAGGCTGGATGTCTTCAGTATACACCAGAATCCAAAGAAGTAGACGGTAATGTAGTGAGGGAATGGATTTGCCAATGAGAGCGAGAGCAAACAGGCAAAGAGCAAAACCTTGCTTCTATGTCCTTTCTATAGGCTGCCTATAGCGGTGGGTGTGCCCCAGATTAAGGGTGGCTCTTCCCACCTCCAAAGACCCAGATTAAAAGTGGGTCTTCCTATTTCAAATGGTCTAATTAAGGAAAAATCCCTCACAGGGGTGCCCAGCCACTTGGGTTTTAGTTAATTCCAGATATAGCCAAGTTGACAACCAAGAATGGCTATTACAGTGCAGAAGCACACACGAGAGAGAGAGAGAGAGAGAGAGAGAGAGAGAGAGAGAGAGAGAGAGCAGTGCACAGGACCCAGTGTACTCTAATGACCTCACCAGCTTATTATGAAGGCCATTACTAAGATGCAAAGGAGGAGCCTGGCACTGGCTGACACTCAGTTCTGTGTCCTCGGAGTGGCCCAGAGCACAGTGAGTCATACAGGCCACCAGGAGGTGATGTGAGCCAAGTGTTTCACTCTGTGCTGGGGACAGGTACACCACAGGCTAGGAAATCCCTCTGGGGCCTCTGAGTCACACGTCACCACATCCCGTCCAACAGGTGCCTCTACAGTGTAAGGGCGGCTGGGGTGCGGCTCGGGGTGGAGCTTTGCCTGGCTTGCTCTCCAGCACAGAGGGGAAGGAATGGCAGAGTGAGAGTTAGGGTCAGATAGGACAGGCTGGAGCATGTGACACCCTAGAGTCTCCTACTTGTCATTCACATGGTTTTGGATATAAATGTTTTTTACCGTGGGGCATGGTCAAAGTTTGAAGTCTCCTGGGCTGAGTCATATTATTGGTACAGGGCCTGACCGTCTTAAAATACGGGACTCGCACAGGTGGGGTAGGGTGTATTGTCCGTCTTTCTAGAGTCGTCCCATGCATGTTCACCCTGCCCTGCGAACAGGCAGAAGTATTCCTGGGAGGTGACCTGGGGCTGACTCTCTGTTTGTTGCCAGGGTGGAGTTTATCAGACTGGCCAAAGAATATGATGTCGTGAACTTGGGCCAGGGCTTCCCCGACTTCTCACCTCCGGACTTTGCTGTGCAAGCTTTCCAACAGGCCACCAGTGGGGACTTCATGCTCAACCAGTACACCATGGCGTTTGTGAGTCTCCTGCATTTCCCGAATGTCCTGGAGAACAGGCACTAACACCACATAGGTGTGAAGGCTCATGGGGCACAACCCAGTGGGTTGAGTTCAGCGTCCTTCAGTAACTGAGAGTCCCCTATGTATTGTACCTCAGATGCCAGTGCAGAAGGCAGATCGGGAAACCTAATGACCACAGCATCTGGTCCAGGGAGGGGAAGCTTCTAGGAGGAGGCGAAGCTTCAGCCAACCCCTGAAAGATGGGCTGCTGGTTGCATTAGACTAAATCCCATCTGCTCTGTAAGGACCACACAATATATATAGTTGCCAACATTGGAGTGGAAGAATGCCTTTGGTGTGGACTGGGGTTTCGAGACAGGGTTTCTCTGTGGGGCCGTTCTGGGTGGAACTCACTATGTAGACCAGGCTAGTGTATTTGGATTTTTCTTTGGGCCACAAACCAGCTCTCAAATAAAGACAGAGGCTTATTATTAATTTTGAATGCTTGGTCTTAGCTTAGGCTTGTCCCATTAAGCTCTTTCAACTTATTTTTTAGAGGTTTATTTATTTATTATGTATACAGTATGCTGCCTGCATGTATGCTTGCAGGCCAGAAGAGGGCGCCAGATCTCATTACAGATGGTTGTGAGTTACCATGTGGGTGCTGGGAATTGAACTCAGGAACACTGGAAGAGCAGCCAGTGCTCTTAGCCTCTGAGCCATTGCTCTAACTACCCTCACACCTTTTAATGGCTATTTAGTTCTATTCCATTGCCCAGATGTACCATGTTTTACTTGGTCCACATTAGTGGACTGCTTTCCACATCTTTTTTTTTAAACATTTTTTTAAGATTTATTTATTTATTATGTATACAACATTCTGCCTCCATGTATGCCCGCATGCCAGAAGAGGATGCCAGATCTCAGTACAGATGGTTGTGAGTCACTATGTGGTTGCTGGGAATTGAACTCAGGACCTCTGGAAGAGCAGCTTAACTGCTCTGGAAGAGTGCTCTTAACTGCTGAGCCATCTCTCCAGCCCCTCCACATCTTTTATAAACATTGCCGTTTTATCTTTAAAAGCGTGTATTTCTCTAAGATATATTCTTTCTATCTATCTATCTTTGTTACTTTTAATTATGTGTGTGTCTGTATATGGTATGTGCACACGAGTGCCAGTACCCCGAAAGGCCAGAGGTGGCAGATTTCCCAGGAGCTGGAGGTACAAGTGGTTGTGATCTGCCTTGTGTGGGTGCTGGGAATTGAACCCAGGTCCTCTGAAAGAGCAAGGACCTCTTAACCACTGAGCCATCTCTCCAGCCCCTTAAGATAAACTTTCAGGTAAAATTAATAACTTGAAAGTCAGACATGGTGGCGCATGCCTTTGATCCCAGCATCCAAGAATCAGAGGCAGAGTCTGTGAGTTTGAGGCACTCTGGTCTACATAAGGCATTCCAGGCCAGCCAGCTCCACCTAGTGAGACTCTAAAAAACATTAATGAAGGCTGTATACAGTTAAATGTGGTTGACATGTCTTGGTAAACTGCCTAGAAGTTAGGGTTGCTCATTGACATCCTACCAAGAGGCGCTCAAAGAAATACAGAAGCTTCTTTGCGTAAACCAGAAGAAAGCCCCATGTATCTGCTGCGGGTGTTAGCACTGTGCTCCCATGATGTCACTTCAGTGTCTCTAGGCTGTTTTGTTCTGGTTAATTCTTTACAGACACGGTGCTCTTTCCATATGCAGCACCACGCTCAGCTTTACCTGCCTGTTCATTCTTACATCGGGAGGCACATAAGATACTGACTCAAGTTCTAGTCTCTCTGTTAGCCACTTGGCTTTGCCTTGAATGTTTTGTGCATGTCTTCACCCTCTCTCAATGGTTCCTGCCTGCCGACACAGTGTGCCCACCTGACTGCTGATACCGTGTGCCCACCTGACTGCTCACACCATGTGTCCACCTGACTGCTCACTGTGCCCACCTGACTGCTGACACCGTGTTCACACCTGACTGCTCACACAGTGTGCCCACCTGACTGCTCACACCGTGTGCCCACCTGACTGCTCATACCATGTGTCCACCTGACTGCTCACACTGTGCCCACCTGACTGCTGACACTGTGTTCACACCTGACTGCTCACACAGTGTGCCCACCTGACTGCTCACACTGTGTGCACACCTGACTGCTCACACCATGTGCATACCTGACTGTTCTAACTGCCTGCCCACCTGACTACTCACACCATGTGCACACCTGACTGTTCTAACTGCCTGCCTGCCTCATGCTTCCCCCTCCAAGTCTAGTTAGGATGATTACTCCTAACTGTGCACCGTAGGCACCAAGTCAGTTGGCCTGTATCAGAGCTCAGAGGGAGAAGTAGTGTAGACAGACTTTTACCAGCTCACAACAACATGGAGACTTATTAATTATAGAAGCTTGGCCTTAGCTTAGGCTTGCTCCTAACTAGTTCTTATAACTTAAATTAGCCTATATTTTTTTAAAAAATTTATTTATGTATACAATATTTTGTCTTCATGCATGTCTGCAGGACAGAAGAGGGCTCCAGATCTCATTACTGTGAGCCACCATGTGGTTGCTGGGAATTGAACTCAGGACCTCTGGAAGAGCAGTCAGTCCTCTCAACTGCTGAGCCGTCTCTCCAGCCTTTAACCTATATTTTTTAATCTAGGTTCTTCCATGTGCTCATTACCTCATGTCCATTTTGCCCATCCTACTTCCTTCACATCTGACTGGCAACTCCTGCCTAGCTAATGGCCATTCAGCTCTTTATTTTTTATTTTTTTTTTTTTAACAGACTTAATTCACTTTTATTTTCCTTGTATAAAAACCCTTATGTGGTGGCCACAGCTGGAGCCTGGGTCCTCTGAACAGAGACTCTGGTGTGGTTTTTCACAAGATGGTCAGTGAATTCCTGATAAGGAGACTTGGTGAACACAGTCTCTTTCCAGAGGTCGGGGGTCAGGTAGCTGTAGGTCTTAGAGATGGCATCAAAGGTGGCCTTGGCAAAGTTGCCCAGGGTGGCAGTGCAGCCCCTGGCTGATGTGTAGCAGTCATCGATGCCAGCCATCATCAGTAGCTTCTTGGGGACAGGAGCAGAGACTATGCCAGTGCCTCTGGGGGCAGGGATGAGACGCACCAGCACAGAACCACAGCGACCTGTCACTTTGCAAGGAACAGTGTGGGGCTTGCCAATCTTGTTCCCCCAGTAGCCTCTCCGCACAGGGACAATGGAAAGCTTGGCCAAGATAATGGCCCCACGGATGGCAGTGGCTACCTCCTTGGAGCACTTGACACCGAGACCTACGTGACCATTGTAGTCCCCAATAGCAACGAAAGCCTTGAACCTGGTCCGCTGGCCTGCCCTAGTCTGCTTCTGCACGGGCATGATCTTCAGAACCTCATCCTTTAGGGAAGCTCCCAGGAAAAAGTCAATAATCTCAGATTCCTTAATGGGCAGGGAGAACAGGTAGATCTCCTCTAGGGACTTGATCTTCATGTCCTTAACCAGGCGGCCCAGCTTGGTGACGGGAATCCACTCCTTGTCTTCAGCTTTACCTCCGCGAGCCCCGCGGCCTCGCCCTCGGCCACGGCCTCGACCACGGCCGCGGCCCCTCAGACCGCTGCCGAATCCTCCGCAGAAGCCGCCACGGCCTCCTAATCCTGGGCCCCCGGGTCCTCTGGACCCTCCCGCTGCACCGGCGTCATCCGCCATTTGGTGTTTTCTAGAAGAAGAAGAAGCCATTCAGCTCTTTATTAAACCAGTCACAGTGACACAGCCTCACACAGTGTAAAGGAACATTCCACAACATTTTCCCATTTCCATCTAAATAAAAAGAAAAGTTTTAAGTCTAACATATGAAAACTATAAACAATAAGAATAATAATCAGGTAAGAATTTATAATGTCCATTTCATTTGTATTTGGCAAATTGAGAGAAAATATTCCATTATGAATCCTATCTTGGTGAATCCAAAGTTTTGTACCTAATTTGCCCTCTATCACAACTAAAGAAAACTATAACTGTCCAGTCTTCAACTCCGTCAAAGACCCCAGAAGGATATAATATTACCTAAATCACAGGAAGTGCAGAGCAAACACCTTCCCAATCTAAGAAGTGACAGCAACATCTGATTGCTCGGATGATCACCAAAAGTTCCTCTACAACGTTTCCATGTCCATCTTTGGCCTACAGGCTTTTCTGTGAAGCAGGAATTTTGAAGGACTGTCCTGCCTGTCTTGGCAAAGTTCAGCAGTTGCCTTCTTTTGTGTCCCACTTGTCCAGGTTGGACTGCATACTGTCAGCAGTTGAGGCAAGGTCAGTTTCTTACCCAAATGATGAGCTTTTGCCACAAAGAAAGCAAACTTCATATGGAGGGTGCTCATTATCCACTTTTTGAAGTAGATTAGTGCTACCAGGAGCAGACGTGTCTTACTGTCACAAAAAGCCTTATATTATTATAACATTTTAAATGCTATATTCTGCAGGTCTTTGAAATGTTTGAAGATCACTTATCTAAAATATATCTCTGTATGACCTTGAAAACATACCTAACATGACTATTAGCTTGATGGTTATAGATGACTAACATTCAACCTATATCTTTTTATTATCCTAAATAGTTTTCGAGAATAAAATCTTTACACTAAATTTTTAAATGATCTGGATAGGTATAATACCTTAAACACAAATAGAAACATATATACAATATAACCAAATAATCTTAAATTTGTGTCAATATACAAAAATCTATACCCATGTAAAGTATTTGAGACTAGTAGTTGATTTTGAGTTTGAAAGTAGATTCAATAATCTACCCTGCCATCTTATTGTTTCTATATCATACTCCCCCCTTTTTTCCTTTCTAATTTCAGCTTTTTGTTTTTGTTCCTGGTTTTGGTTTTTTTGTTTAGCTCTTATAGGTTGGCTTCAAACTCACAAAGATCCACCTGCCTCTGTTACAGATTCCTCAGAGTTCTGTATCCAGAGCAGATTCAAGGCTACTGACTGAGATGGTCCAGGATTTTCAGGGGGTCTCCCCTATCAAAGCTGATCTCTTATCAACCTTGAATGAATCCACAACCTTTCATTTTCTGTGAAAACAAAATTATAACCTCTTCTCCAATGCAACATATTATTTGACTTTCATTTTGAAGTTAGGACATTTTTAAAAATATTTATTTATTATGTATACAATATTCTGTCTGTGTGTATCCCTGCAGGCCAGAAGAGGGCACCAGATCTCATTTCAGATGGTTGTGAGCCACCATGCGGTTGCTGGGAATTGAACTCAGGACCTCTGGAAGAGCAGGCAATGCTCTTAACCACTGAGCCATCTCTCCAGCCCCCAAGTTAAGACATTTTTAAAATATATAGGTTGATTTAATTTGGCAGTTTCCATAATCCAATGTTTTTCATCAGCTATTGTTCATTCATCGGTAATCAAAAAATTTAGTTAACAAGATACCATATAAGAGATCCAGACTCTCTGTGTATTTTTCGTTTTTACATGGCTTATCCTTTTTATATTATTTTATTCTCTATTTAAAGACTTCCTCTTGCCGGGTGATGGTGGCACACGCCTTTAATCCCAGCACTTGGGAGGCAGAGACAGGTGGATCTCTGTGAGTTCGAGACCAGCCTTCCAGGACAGGCTCCAAAGCCACAGTGAAACCCTATCTCGAAAACAAAAACAACAACAAAAAAAAACTTCATCTTATTATTTATGAACTGTTTTTTTCTATGACTGTCTTTATCTATTTTCTCTTCTTTTTTGAGCCTATGCACATTTTTAAACGCACTGTAACCTGAGTGGAGGTTTTTCCATCTGGATCTGTCTTTACTGTGCATCTGCAGCATCCTCTGACTGCATGAGGCCAATCCTTCTTTGTTTTTTGTTTTTTCGAGACAGGGTTTTTCTGTAGCTTTGGTGCCTGTCCTGGAACTAGCTCTTGTAGTCTAGGCTGGCCTTGAACTCACAGAGATCCCTTTGCCTCTGCCTCCCAAGTGCTGGGATTAAAGGTGTGTGCTGCCATCACCACCACCACCACCACCACCACCACCACCTGGCAAATTTTGTTTTGTTTTGTTTGAGACAGGGTTTCTCCCGTTTACTGCCTTGACTATCCTGGAACTCACTTTATAAACCAGGCTATCCTTGAACTCACAGAGATCAGACCACCTCTGTTTTCCAAGCCTTGGGATTAAAAGTGTGCACCACCACTGCCAGTCAATTTTTTTTTTAAAGAAAAGAAAAAGGGCCGGGCGGTGGTGGCGCACGCCTTTAATCCCAGCACTTGGGAGGCAGAGGCAGGAGAATCTCCATGAGTTCGAGGCCAGCCTGGTCTACAAAGGGAGTTCCAGGATGGGCTCCAAAGCTACAGAGAAACCCTGTCTC